TGAACAGAGCCCCATTGCCTCTGGGATCAAATATAAACTCTTCACAATCTGGGCCCTTCCTACCTTTTCAGTCTTCTTTATTTTACTCCCCTCCTTACACTCTAAAACAATATTAAGCTTCCTTGCTATTGCTAACTTTCAATACTCCTCCCAGTTCCATGCCTTTGTATTGTTTATTCTCTTTGCCTGTAATGTACTGCTTCCTCCTCCATATCTTTTGGAGTCCCTGGTTTACTTCAAGATTCAGTTTATGTGCCACCTTCTCCATGAAGTTTTCCCTGGTCCCCTGCCTGCCAGGGTCTGCCCTACCCAAACTGCCTTGAATTTATTTTGCATGTATTCTACATTTACTCATATGTACATGATGACTCCATTGTTGGAATATAAACTCCTTGAAAGCAGGGGCTGTTTCATTTTTGTCTTTTTGTGTATAGTAAACACTTATTAAATGCTTGTTGACTGATTTATTGATTTGAACTCAAGCCTTCTGGTTGCAAGAGTCATGCCATTTTCAACAAACGACATGCTTATTTACAGATCTAATAATTTGTTCTCTCACCACAAATGGATGGTTCAAAATGAGGGTAGCCAGATCATTTTATCTCCATTTTGCCCATCACAGTAATCTTTTTTGGAATCTTACAAAGCATCTTCCATGCTCATTCTGTCATGGAGGAGATGAAGGCTGAGGATGAGCATGGAAACCTCAACTCACAGGAAGGGGATCCCTGATCCTATAGCCAATGACAGACCACGCAGCTGCCCTATTGTGGCTGTGGGAAGATCTCAGACTCTGAGGCGCCACTGCGAAAAATTATTCTTCCTTTGTGCAATTCTGCAGTGAGCCTGTCAGCCTCCAGCACAAGGAGTTATCTTGAACACATTTATTCAATAAGCAAAGAGAGCTGAGGAAGGATTTTCACAGCTGGCAGTATGTGAGTGCCGCATCAGCTTCCATCAGAGCAATGCAATTTTTAGATTGAGTTTGAAAATGTCATATTCCCTATTTAATTTTCTTTTTGTCTTAAAGGTGGTACTCTTCTTTACAGCATGGCAGGAGGTGGGGGGGGTGCTAGATCGAAAAAAATGCAATTGTCTGGCACTCCTGAAATATTGTCTTTAGATGGGATCCCCTCCCTTCAATTCTAGACACAAAACTGTCTGTCACATGTGGAAATGACTTGCAGACTGCAAGGCCTTGCTCTGCCTGTTAAATTGAAACATTTCAGATATTTTAATTAGCAACTATTTGCAAAGTACTTCACAGGTTCAATGCCTACTCATAATTCATATTTATAACAGACAGCTCTATTATTACACAAACAAGAGTGGGATCCTTCAATATTAAGGATTTACAAAACCACATATTTTGGCACTTACCTAGTACTAGTCTGGCTGGATCCCTTTTTCACGTTTCTCTTTTCCCTTTTCAAGAGGGAGAGAGGTCCCTGCTCCTTTAAACCCACATCAAGTGAATTCTTGTCTTGGAGCAGTGTCATGTTTCCAGGTTCATCTGTAAGTATAGCTCATTTCTAACCTCAGGGCTCTGTTTGGTCTTACTCTCCCTGAAGAGATATGTTTTTCTTCCAAGCACAGACAAGTCAGACGATGCTGCCTCAGTTGTTCCGTTGTCATTTGCTAGAGGTTTGAATTTATCTAACCTTTGGTATTTCAGCATAACTATCTTTCTGCTTTCCTCGTAAACAAATAAACAAACCCCAGACCCAGCAGGATTATCACCTTCTGCATTTCTCTATTGCCCCTTACATCAATGTTGAAGATTTTTGTTTATGTCTGTCTCTGGATCAGCCCAGGAACGGCACTGGGGAGGTGTATATGGTGGTGGTTTTGGTGGTGGACTGATATGCAGCAAATTTTTCCCCATGATCTCTTAGAATTCCCTAAGAGGATTTTTAGGAGGTGATTGAAAGGTCATCTTATCTAGTCCCCTCATTTTGTAGATGAAAACCATGAGGTTCAGAGAGCTATCCCCCAGAGAAACAACTGGCTTAACCATGGTCATTATAGGTGGGTAGGAGTGGAACTGACTTACTTTGACTCCACATACAGTCACACCATAGAAGCCATAACTAAAAAAGAGGGTTGAAGACCAGGAGTGGGAATGTGAGTCATATTACGTCTACGCATGGGAGAGAAGTTTTAAGATTAGGTGGCTACTACTGAACAGTCAAGTAGTGAGGGAGTGGGCATAGCTCTTCATAACCTGGGATTCCTGATTCATCCATGTGCCATTACTTGGAAGATTTGAGTAATCTAATAAACCCAGAAGACATTTTTATTTCCTACTAACACCGTTTTTAAGGAAAGGCACTCAACACAGTCACACCAGGTAGGAAAAGAAATTTCCTTCCCAATTCCCTCAATGGGGTTTTGAAAACCCAAGCTTTTGCAGGCTTTAAGAAGCCTTTTGGGAGAAGCCACCTGGGTTATCCAACCATCTGGGACCATAGAGCAGGTAAAGATGATCTTACTCCGTTATCTGCGGCCCTGCCTCTCTCAATGACAATAGCTGTAATAGACAGTGGGCTGATCTGTCACCGGGCTACTGTTTCTTAGTTTCTCTTTTCTCCCATGGTCCTACATTCTATAGACACAACAGGAACTCATGATTTTGCTCTAGGACCGAGCACTGCATTTTGTGACAGCATTATCCTTTGAACCACTCTTCTCATTTCATGAGAATTATTGTTGTTCAGCTGTTTTTCAGTTGTGTCTGACTCTTCATGACCCCATTCGGGTTTTCCTGGCAGATGCTGGAGTGGTTTGCCATTTTCTTCTCCAGTTCATTTTACAGATGAGGAACTGAGGTAAACAGGGTTAAGTGACTTGCCCAGGGTCACATAGTTAACAAGTGTCTGAGGACAGATTTGAACTCAGGAAGATGAGACTTCCTGACTTCAGGCCCAGTACCCTACCCACTGTGCTACCTAGCTTCCCTGGTATATATTATTGGAAATTCTTTACGAGAGAATAATAATTTGTAAATAATTTCCCACATGATACACTAGGCCCAATCTTCTCAAGCATTTATAGAATAACAGAATTTTAGAGCTGTAAAGTACCTTAGTTATCATATATTCCAACTTCCTTATTTTAATGATTAAGAAACTGAGGTCCAGGGAAAGTGATAGGGCAGAGCCTCAACTAAAACCAGAGCGACAACTAACATACTATGATTGCAGCTTTATACCAGTGCCCTGACATCCTGGAGGAAGCACTTCCTCCTTGCAGCAAACACCATGCCCTGTTCTCCTTGCCCCCCACAATACACTTAGTCTCTTGATCCTCCAGCCCAGGAATGGCACAACTACCCTTAGTTACCAGCCCAAGTGTTCTGCTCGTGTGGTATCCCTCTCCATGAGGCCACTTTCCCCTTACTCCTATGGGAGCAAGGCCAGATTTCCTGGGGGACAGACTTCATCTTCCCAATACAGTTGCACTGTTGGCAGGACTATTTTCTGCACCAGCCCATGTTTCCCTATCCCTCAACTGAATTTGCCTCAGGTACAGTCATGGCTATTTACAACTTTGATGAAAATCTGGTTTGTTTGTTTGGTTTTTTTTTTTGGTTGTTGTTTTTTTCAATATACCAGATAGACTCTTCAATTAATATGATTTCCTCATTTCTGATTTGTTCTCTCTCTCTGCTTTGTTCTTTCCCCACTCCCTAATTTTTTTCTAACTCTTGGACCATTTGTTTGCTTTCTATACTCATTGGTTCTCTTAAGTAGTGTTTTAAAAGTTTTATTAAGTTTTGACTTTGATGTTCTACTTGGCCTCAAAGCCACAGATTCCCCACTCCTGCTCTAGTCTAGAGCAAAGGTTGCACTGAGAATTCCTGCTTGCTTAGACCAACATTGCTTCTGGGTTCTCTAGTCTGCATAGTCTAGACTAATGGTGTCAGATTCAAATAGAAATGGATCCCTGAGGGTGGTATATTGATGTGGAAAACAATAAATTAACATTTTCAATGTTGTGTTATTCCTTTGTTTATTGTGTTAAACATTTTCCAATTGCATTTTAATCTGGTTCAGGCTGCATTTGAGAGTTTTGCATGCTGCACGAGTGGCCAGTGAATCCTGAGTTTGACACTTCTGGTCTAGACCTACTGGGTCCCCTACAGAAAAGCTCAGATGGAAGCCATCCATAAGGGAGACTTCAGAAGGACACCATACTTTTGTCAGCATGGCAAAATGATGTAAGGCAAAATGAGGAACGTCACAGCATGGAATACATGAAAGTTAAAAAATCAAGGTAGGATCAGAAATCTTTACTCTTTTCACACATCATTCTGTCCCTATGATGCCCAGTTACTAGGAAAATCTGGATTAAGAAAATGGCTTGGCATTTATGTTAACAACTGAAAAGTCTTATTGTTTCCACTATCAAATAAGAACAAAACAAAACAAAAAAGGCTGGGAGGATGGGATTTAAGCATGAATCTGGGAACTGCATTTTTTGGGGGGGAAATTGTTGGGGCACATAAACAACATGACCATGCCCTTTTCTTCTCTATGATCTCATGTCAACACCTCTTTGGTTCATGATGAGGGCAGCTCTAGCTGCTACTTTTTGGCGTAAACCCCAGTGAATATATCCATAGATCTATTGTAACCTTGGAGCATTATACCATCATAAACATCAGAGATGCTGTTGGCTCTATTCCCCTAAGTCTACCATTAGCCAAGTGGAAAATAACAAAAAACTGTTTTTCCCCATTCTTTTGATGAAAAGGTCAGTCTAAGGGCAAAAGAAAACTGTCTCTCCATAAGCCAGCTGTGACAGAAAGGGTGAAGAAAATATCACATATCATTCACATACTTAAGTACCATCATAGTGGTCTGTATATTTCAGTGGGGGTTGAATGGCCTGAGTTTTGACAGAAAGACACTGAGACAATCACTGGAGGTTTTGAATAAGCGGTCTGTCATTCAGAATCTTTCCCACAAATCCCCAAAACGATGATGGTGTGCCCTTACCTTGGAGGGCCTGTAAGGTATGAGTCTGAACGACAATGCAGAGCTGCAGGACCAGTTGTGGGGCACTCTCCAGAAAGGTGGCTAGCAAATGCAGCATACTCACATCTGCATACTCATACACCATCTTCCAGTAGAACCGCCATCTGTCATTCTCCCCACTCCGGCGGCTTCGGATACCTAAGTATATGGTGTGGAAATATCTAGAAACAAAACAGAGAGAATGAAAATGAAATAAATGATGATTTGTAATCTAAACACTTTGCTTTTTCCTCTCATGGTTTCTTTTATTGTGTACAACTGAAGGAAGAGTTTTATATCCTTTGAAGGTCATTTTAGGCTATAGTGACTTTAGTTTGCATTTTTTAAAGGCAAGCTAAACATCAGGATAGGGCAGAGTTAGGAGAAATGCCAAAGGAAACTCTTAGGATGTCAGTGTTTGGGTGTTGATGCTGTATTTGCTACTGGGTTGGTTTTTTGTCCACTGGCTAGGTTTTTGTCCACTCGTAAGACTCCACTAATCCCTTAGTCATCTCTGGACCACCAGGGCAGCCTCAGCTGTTACAGGTGGAACTGTCTATAAATTTAATGGCATGACACATGGTCATTTATCTATCGTAGAGATCTGCTGGTTTGTGTACGCTCTTGGAGTTCATCAGCATTCTAGCCTTACGTTATGAGAAGCATTGGGTGGGTAATCTCTGATGAGTCTTGGCTCACAACACGATCCAGAGAGAAAGGCAAGGGAGAGGCAGAAAGAATTGAAGTGCTGGACACTACTGCTGAGAACTCCTGTTTCTATCTCCAAGAGAGATTCATGTATTACTTCAAATAGTCTGTAATAAGCCCCTCTCTTGTTCTATCTCCTTGCCTTCCCATCCTGGCATCATATCTACATTTCTGAGCCTTAGGATCTCCCAAAAAGTGAAGGTTGCTGACTCATCCTTTCCAAATTTAAGGATTCTTCAAACAGAGACCAAAGTTAGCAGTGAATAGATATCTTGAAAGAGCTTGATGCCAAGAGAAAAGGAAGGCTTATATGCATGCAAAAATGACTTTCCTAGAGTAATTATAATTCTGAAGAAGGAGGTCTTTAGAATTGGTGCTGGAAGGCATTATGGGGGGGGGTGGTCAATAACTATGGAGTCTGGTTACCACTTGAAGCAGAAACTACATCTACAGTGGTGTAGTCATCCAATAAGTGATCATCCATCCTTGCCCAGAAAACCTCCAACAATGACAAACTCATGAGACAGCATGTCCCATTTTTATCCAGCTATGTTTGTTCCTTTTCTCATGTGCAGCTGAAAAACTTCCTAAGAACTAGAGCTATCCAAAAGTGGAATGGCTTGCCTCAAAAGACAGTGGGTTCCCCCTAGGTGGTGGTCTTTAAGTACAGGTATGTTATAGTAGGGACTCCTTTCGTGAGGTCCCTTCCAACTTTCCACTTTTGTGAACCTGTATCATCTTTACATTGATCTGTGGAGCCAAGCAGAACAAATCTAATCTCTCTTCTATATACTAACCCTTTAAAAACTTGAAGAGAATCATCATGTCCCCCCTTTTCATCTCTTGGGAAACGGTCTCTTTCCCAGTTCCAGTTTTTCCAGGGTTGATTACTAAACCCTAGTATATTCAAATGAATCTGTCTTCTCATCCCTGAAAGGATCACACATGACTGCTCATGCTAGGTGGCTCCCACAAGCTCACCACCAGGGGCCTACCCGATATACTAGAGGCTTTCCTTGCCTTTTCCTAAGATCTCAAAGATACCAGTGGAATGCATGGGCTACTCTTTCTGTTTTGCTCTTGCCACATGGTCAGCCCATTTACTTTTCTGACTATACATTTCTCAAATGAGAGATTATAATACTATTTTTTATCATGACTAATTTGTTGTGTCACATTCTGCTTACATCTACTATGTGTCTTTCCATAGTCAATTAAATAGCATCCACATGGCTAATGAAGTGAGCATTACTCATTGGGACATTACATGTTTTTCTCTTCAACCAAACTCATATCTTTGCCAGCAGAAACAATTGGTTTTCTATCTGTTCCTCAAAACTCTCTAGTAGAGGTTCCATATCTCTTTTGGAAATATTTAAGTAAGATATCTTTCTTGTGTCTTCTCTGAATCTTGACTCTTTTGACATACAAGCTCCCTGTGCAGTGATTTATTATGTACCCATTCACTTATTGCTTTGTATTTATTTTTTATTTTCTCTGTGTGTGTGTGTGTATGCATATGCACCTAAGTGTGTTTGCATGTTAATTGTTCTCAGTAATAACATAAGCTACATGAGAGCAGGGAAAATTATCATCTACTTTTTTTTCTGTAACTCCCAAATACCTATTATACTCTGTGTTCTCAATAGGTATTTGATAGATACTTGTTGAATGAAAGAATGAATGAATAAATGAATGATAACTTTATTTTCTTCAAACTACCATGGAAGTTTGACATCAAAGATTCTCCTAGAATTAAATCCAAAGACATAAGCCCCCCACAAATGCTACCTTCAGCAATTTTATTTCTAGTTTTTCCCTGTGGTGAAGATTATGAGTCTTCTCAGCTTTATTCTGCCACCAGCTAAGAAAGTTTAAATGGTTCCCCCAGGTCTGTGGCTCATAGGGGCTCGAACTCTTCTGGGTATAATAGAAACAACTGCTATAGCAAACAGCTTGAGATCAAAGGAACCTGGTGTTAATAACAGGTTTCTTCCCATTGAGCAAACCAACAAGTATTTGGCCACTAGTTTACCTCATGTAGTTTCATGCAATAAGATGCAACAACAACTCTTCCTGTTATATAGGCCTACAATCCGAATGACAAATGAAAAGAAAAGGGAATTATTCCTGTGGAGACTTTATAAGTCTCTGAACTTTTGTTCAGGAAGAAAGTATCTATCCATGTCCAGAGTATATGAAAGCTCTCACTCACAAGGTACCTGCCCCACTGGTTCTCCAAACCTTCCTTAAAGGAAAGAGTTGAGACAATGGAATTAACTCTTGTAATGTTTATCATAGATCATGAGATCACAGATTTAAAGACAGAAGGGACTTTGGAAATCATCAAGCTCAACCCTCTTCATTGTCCAGGTAAGATAGCTGAGGCACAGAGAGGTTCAGTGACTTTCCCAGGGACACAGTTAATAATTATCTGAGGCAGGATTTGCACTCATGTCTTTCTGACTCTCAGTCAAGCACTCTCTTCTCTATAAGGACAAAGGAGATTTAGGAAGAACTAAGGGGTTTGGAAGGGTAACTAGGTGGCACAATGGATAGATCACTAGGCTTTGGAATCAGGAAGACTCATCTTCCTGAGTTCAAATCTGGCTGTATACTAGCTGTGTGACCTTGGTTGAGTCCCTTAACCCTGTTTATCTCAGTTCCTTATCTATAAAATGAGCTGGAGAAAGAAATGGCAAACCACTTCAGTATCTTTGCCAAGAAAACCCCCCAAAGTGGTTACAAAGAGTTAAACATGACTGAAATGACTCAACGACAAGAGGTTTGAAGCAGTGAAAAGACAGGTGATCGTGATCAAAGAGGGATATTTCATAGCATCAAAATTTTGGAGATGGAATGGTTTTGGATGATAGCAAAATCCATGTATGACCACTCCTCATAGTGGCTAAGATAAGGTCAAGATGAAGGTTTAATTGACAAATGCAATTCAATTCAAGGAAGAATAATTCAAGGGCAAGCTACTGTGTTAGGAGCTGAGGAGGATACAATGATGTATAAAAATATGGTGGGCTCTGCCCTCATGAAGCTTACAATATAATTGTATTTCAAAATCACATAATTACCAAATCTCTCTTTCATTTTTTTACTTCATAAATAGCTTCAGGTTCTCCAACAATGCCCACAAAATGATATGGTGGTTACTAAATTTTGTTTATTCCTTGGACTACTCTTCTACATTTAGACACTAAAAGAGTGTTTTATTTCTTTAAAGCAAGGTTTTTTTCAAACTATGCTTCATATAATCTTGTTGTTTCACATTACTTGGATGGTGGTTCTGTGAGAACTTTATGATTCTAACATTATTTTCCCTCTAAAACATTAAATACGAAATTGTAGATGTATCAGAAAAACCTTAGGTGATTTGTTATGGTGGAAAGAACACTGATTTTAGAATCAGAGGATGTGGGTTAAAATCCTAGCCCTTCCACTTACTATTTGTATCACCTCAAGCAAATCACTTTACTTTTAGGGGCTTTAGTTTTCTCATTTGTAAAATTAGGGGGTCATACTAAGTTCCCTTCCAGCCCTAAATCTATGTTCTGATGTAAGTACACATTTTCTCACTGAAAACTGGGCTTTTTTTCCCCATTTTGATCGAACTTCCCTCATCTCCCTTTTATTCCCTTTGGTCTACCCTCCCAGACTTCCTGGATCAAACTTCATAAGTTCTGTCAATATTTTTAAAGTCCCTGAGGCTTGCAGAGCCATAATAGGTTAGCTAGATTAGTAAATCACTGAGCTAGCCAACAATTAGATTTGATGGTCTGCTGGATAACCTATACTTTTTTGGGTTAGGGGAGAGGAAACAATCTACTAGCACTAGTAATTCTACCTGTGGCCTACTATCTTAAAGAGAAAGCATGTCTGATAGTACTTGGTACCAGAAGAGTTGAATCTGAGCTCCAACAAGCTTGCAAGATTGCCACGGACCAGTTTCTTAAACACTTTTCAGTCTTATTTGTCAAAATGGTCCATGCATCAAAGACAGTCATCCCTCATGTGAGTCATCACTCATGTGATGGGATGACATCTGCACATTAGAGCAGGCAAATTCTCAAGTTTGGCATTTAGTCCAGTAGAAAAAGCAATGGATTTGGAGTTAGGATGTGAATCCTAGCTCTGCTACTTACTATCTATGTGACCGTTGGCAAGACATATTACCTCTCTGATTCTGAGTTTCCTCGTGTCGGAAATGAAAGGATTGGATTAGATGATCCCTGAGGTCTCCTCTAGCTAGAACATTCTATAATCTTGTGACTTATATTTCACATTTACATGGCACTATATGGTTGACAGAGCACTTTCCTCACAACAGCCCTGTGAGGCAAGTTTTTCAATCACAATCTACTTTCTTACCTCGTTGCCATATGTTGATTGTCCGACATTTCAATCACATGCTATGCCTCTCCTGTCTGCAGGTTTTCCAGTAACTCATGAGAAGGATTTGGAT